ATATAAATGAAATCATGTAGTACTGATATTTTGATGACTGGCTTATTTCACTTAGCATAATGTCCTCAAGGTTCATCGATGCTGTGGCATGTGTCAGGATTTCGTTCCTTTTTAAGGTTGATTAATATTTCATTGTGTGTGTATACATTTTGTTTATCCATTCATCCGTGGATGGACATTTGGGTTACTTCCACCTTTCAGCTATTGTGAATGCTGCTGCTGGGACCATGGGTGTGCAAATATCTCTTTGCAAATGCTGCTTTCAATTCTTCTGGATATGTACCCAGAATTGCTGGATCATATGATAATTCCATTTTTTATTTTTTGAGGAACAACCATATTGTTTCCCGTAGAGTCTATGCCATTTTACATTCCCACCAACAATGCACAAGAGTTCCAGTTTCTACCCCATCCTTGTCAACACTTGTTAGTTTCTACCCTAAAAAAAAATTACCAACCTAATGGGTGTGAGGAGATACCTCATTGTGGTTGTAATGAAATTAGTGATTAGCCATATTGAGCATCTTTTCCTGTGCTTATCGGCTGTTTCTATATCTTTGGAGAAATGTCTACTCAAGTTCTTTGCCCATTATTTTTAAATTTTTTCATAACAGCTTCAACAAAATGTAATTTACATACCATATAATTTTCCCAAAGTGTGCATTTCAGTGATTTTTAAATCTATGCACAGAGTCATCACCCTAGAAAGAAACCCCACCCCTCCCCAGCCTTAGGCAATCACTCATCTACTTTCTGTCTCTATGGATTCACCTGTTCTGGACATTTCATGTAAATGGAATCAGACAACACGAGGTCTTTTGTGACTGGCTTTTTGACTTAGAATAACTTCCAAGTAATGAGTTGTGACATGCGTGAAATATTGTCTATGAAGGAAGCATCAGAGACTCTGTGCCAAAGGTTTTTCTTGTACCTGGTCCTGCAGGTACCACCTGCCTAGCACATTCATCATAAGTCATATTTTGTTTGCACATATGGTTAAGGCATTCTTATCAGTTGGGGTGGTGGGAACCCTCCGCAAATTCAAGTTCCCAGATCCTAGCCAAGGCCAACCTTGCAAGAAGTATTTTCAAATGATAGCGTTCTTGGGCCTGCTATGTTAACTATTTTCTGCACAGATTTTTTTTAATATAAACTTTTAATTTTATATTGGAGTATGGCTTCTCTGGTGACTCAGTGGTAAAGAATTATCTGTCAGTGCAGGAGATGCAGGTGCAATCCTTTAGGAAGATTCCCTGGAGAAGGAAATGGCAACCCACTCCAGTATTCTTGCTTGAGAAATCCCATGGACAGAGGAGCCTGGCAGGACACAGGAGTCCGTGGAGTCACAAAAGAGTCAGACAGACTTAGCAACTAAACAACAATAATAACTGATTAACAATGTTGTGATTGTTTCAAGTGCACAGCAAAGTGACCCAGCCATACATATACCTGTATCTATTCTCTCCCAGACTCCCCTCTCATCCAGGCTCTGCACAGATTTTTAAAAACTGTTTATTCATTTATTTGGCTGTGCCAGTTTTAGTTGAGACACTTGGGATCTTTCATCTTCACTGGGGAATGTGGGATATTTTTCTTTTTTTTAGCTGTGGCATGTAGGATTTAGTTCCTTGACCAGAGATCAAACCTGAGTCCCCTGCATTGGGAGCATGGCGTCTCAGCCACCTGAGCACCAAGGAAGTCCCTAATTGTAGTCTTTGAAGCACAAGTTTTAAATGTTGATGTTGGCAACAAAAATTCAATTAACAATCAAGTTAAGAAGAAAAAAAAAATTTTATTCAAGTCAAACTAAGAATTATAACCCAAGAGACAGACTCTTGGAAGTCCTGAGAACTGTTCTGCCCATTAGAAGGCACATTATACACATTTTGGGGACAAAGAATCTTACATCAAAATGACATACTAACACCTTACATAAAGTTTACCAAAGATATCTAGTCCAAGTATTCAGGCAGCAAGTCACCATGACTCCCTACAGCCCTATAGAGTTTGCAAAAAAATGCTATTTGGCCCAGGGTCAGGATTCGGGGGAGCCATTCCTGTAGAATCTTAGTTCCCCAACCAGGAAATGAACTCCAGTTTACCTCAGTGTAAGCACAAGTCTTAACCACTGGACTGCCAGAGAAAGGGATGCCAGTCTTTCAAGAAGTGACTGGAATTCCCTGTTGTCCAGTGGTTGGGACTCTGATTCCATGGCAAGGGACATGGATTTGATCCCTGGTTGGGGGAGCTAAAATTCTGCATGCCATGAAGTCAGGCCAAAAAAACACACAGAAAAGTTACATTGCTAGCATCAGAAGAAAGGAAAAGAAAACTGATCTTTGCAGTCAAGCAGGCATTTGCACCTTTGAGGAGGTCTGGTTAATGTATAATGCAAATACACATTGCATATTAGGGAAGGAGGAGGCCCAAATGGACAGAGAGATATTTTGTGTTTACATTTTCTTGTTCCACTGCAAAATGTGAATTTTATTTCATCAATGTAATCCAATTTATCTATTTTTTCTTTTGTTGCCTGTGTTTTTTAAAAAATCATTGTCAAATCCTTTGACATAAAGCCTTTTCACTATGTTTTCTTCTTAGAGTTTTATAGGTTAGGTCTTTGATCCATTTTGAGTTAATTTTTGTATAGGGTGTAAGGGAAGATACTTCACACTTTTGCATGTGGATATCCTATTTTGCCAATACCCTTTGTTGAAAAGATTGTCCTTTCCCCAATGAACGCTCTTGCCACCCTGGTTGAAAATAATTTGATCATATATGCAAGGGTTCCTTTATGGACCATCTATTCTATTCCCCCATTCCTTTTTATGAATGAATAATATTCCATTGTATCTGACAAAATGATTCCATTCCATCTAACAAAACATGGTCCACTGGAGAAGGGAATGGCAAACCACTTCAGTATTCTTGCCTTGAGAACCCCATGACAGTATGAAAATGCAAAAAGATAGGACACTGGAAGATGAGCTCCCTAGGTCGGTAGGTGCCCAGTATGCTACTGGAGATCAGTGGAGAAATAACTCCAGAAAGAATGAAGAGACGGAGCCAAAGCAAAAACAACACCTAGTTGTGGATGGGACTGGTGATGAAAATAAAGTCCAATGCTGTAAAGAGCAATATTGCATAGGAACCTGGAATGTTAGGTCCATGAATCAAGGCAAATTGGAAGTGGTTAAACAGGACATGGCAAGAGTGAACGTCGACATTCTAGGAATCAGTGAACTAAAATGGACTGGAATGGGTGAATTTAACTCAGATGACCATTATATCTACTACTGTGGGGAAGAATCCCTTAGAAGAAATGGAGTAGCCATCATAGTCAACAAGAGTCG